CTTTTTAAGTATAAATGAAATAAAGACCACTTTTACTCATGGTGTTAATGCTAAGATTTAAGTAGAAAGCCAAGTTTCTCCTATAAAAAGTAGAAAGTTTCTACATAAGGGAATGCTCTCTCGGGGCTGGTGTCACTCCAAAATGCTGTTTCTGTTACAATGGCTGTCTCGTAAGATCTGTGACCATCTGTTTTTCGATGGTTTGAAATGTATGATCTGTGATATTTGCTACTGAGAAGTGTTACAGACACTGCTGACACAGATCAGATAAGAAACTGGGTCAGCTGACAAGATATTTCCTGTAACGTTAACTCCCTGTAGCATTAACATGTGCATCCTTCTCTGTGAGGGAGTTTCTGAACATCGGTTGTTGACAACTATGTAGTTTCATTTGCAATTATTGAAAAGTATATACTCTTTCCTTAAAAAAAAAAAAAAAAGAAAAAAAGAAAAAAAAGAAAAAGAAAGAAAAGAAAAAAAAGAAAAGATTTTTTTAACCACATTTCTCTTTAAATTAGAAAAAAAAAAGTATTTAATTTCTCAACGCTTGGCAGTTTTCCTGTATTGCTCTGTCAGGAGCCTTGTCTTTTCATTCGGCTTCATTTCTGATTACAGATTATTCATTTATGGACGGGCAGCTGTAGAAACTTGCTTCCTGCATATGCAAATCAATCATGGTAATGTTTATCATAAGGAGATTTTGTGGCAGTGGAAAAGGGGTTGTGGCAACATGTTCTTGATTTCAATTGTATCTTCTACAAATGGAATTGGCTTCCTCACTTCGTCTTCAGTGTATTTTTTTTTGTTGTTTGCCATTTACCTCTTGGACTAGACACCACTCACTAAGCAAGCTGTTTGATTCACTTACAGATCATGATTTTGGAAGGAGCTGGCAGAATGAGTATCAATTCCAGCAGCAATCTACTTCACCAGCAGCCTTCCTGGACAGACGGATATTCCACATGCAATGGTAGGAGGAATTTGACTGTTTAGGGGGGAGGTATGGAAAGGGCTACTACGCCTTTTAGCATGCACAAGTATTATTTTTCAGTAATGCTAGTTTACTGGGATTTCAGTTCTAGTAAGAAAAAATTCCGTTGGTTTCTTTATTCGTGAAAAGCTGGACTCACAACGCTGTTTCTGAAAGTGACCGGTTTATGGTTTCTTTCTTTACTGGCTCTTTTTCTTCAAATTAATGTAGTGGTGCTGAAAGTGCCAAAATTTCTCTCTCCTCCATCCAGAATTCTTTCTCATTTATCTTTACTCCTCACACCTTCTCTGAACCAACATTACTTTTCAATGCTAATCACCCCTCTGGCTTTCCAGAGCAATAGTCCTTTTACTCCTTTACAGTACTTGCTTTTTCAACTCAAATTACAAGATAGCTCTTTAATTAGACTGGCATTAGAGAGCTACTAGATAGCTTGTGATCTGAGACCTTTTCTTTTTTCTTAGCATTTTCTGATTATATGGCTGTATATAGAAATGTGTTCATATATATTCTCTTCCTCAGTATAAAAATATAGATACAGACATATATCTATATATGTAGGGTTTAATATAATTTTAAAACTCTTTTAATCACTCAGTTGACAGGTAGGCTTAAAATCTAAGCAGACAAACATACTACAGTTGTCCTTCAAATCAGAATAATGCTGCAACAAAACTTACAATGAAAGTTCCTACTGAATGAAACTCCTGTTCTTTTTTATGTGTCATTTCTAAATACATGGGAATACGTAAGCGTGCACTTAATCAATGTGCCGACCTGTCTGTAACAGATTCGTGGGGAAAAGAAGTCCTGGCAGAGTGTCCCTTTGCACAGGACTTCATGAAGGGTAACGGTGGGGGTCTCTTTGCATGTTTCCAGTGTGAAAATTCATAGGATTCACTTGTGTTTTAGAGGGACAAAAAGCCAAAAGCTCAGACGAGCCTCTGCAGTCACTCAGCACTTTTATCTTGCTACCCTTTCCTTTCGTTTAAAGGCATTCCTTTACATTAGGAATCTAGTGGCCTCTGAAATTCCTTTACCCTTCTGAAGTGATGGGAATAAATATCAGCCTCCTTTTCAGGGAATACATGATGGCTCTATCAAACCTTTATTCTGTGACATACTCCACTAGATCATTTCCACACTCAGTCCCCAAATCCTTCAACAGGAGGATGAGAAACAGTCCTGCAGACTCCTTAAGTTACTGACACAGACCTTCTTGACAAATATTGGTAAAGAAACCTAAGTAACTGGGGGCTTTTCTTGTGTTTAACTGGAAACTAGCACCGCACCTTGTATCTGGACTGAAGGGACATGAGGTCTAGTGGGACCTGATGGGAGGTGATTTCCTAAAGTATGCCAACTCTGTTGCTTGTGGTCCTCTAGCAATATCCACTGCTGCCAGCATTTCTCACAGCTGTGTATGTAGGCTTTTTCTTGCAGAGAACGGAGCGATGCCATATCCTGGAATGGGGCTACTGTAGAGCTAGGCCATGGCAGTCTTTCCTCCTCCTGTAAATAATTCAACCACCTCTGCAATCTCCCATTCCCTCCTCTTTAAACCCTTCATGGACTTGTGAGCATTTTATCACTCTGCTCTCTCTGCCTGGCATACTACATTGTCCTCCTTTCCCAAGGAATAAATTGCACTGAACTCCTTTTGCCAGCCCTCCTGTGAGGGCAGACTAAAGCAGTCCTGCCTTTGCTCTATATAATTATCGTATCCCCCACATACGTACAATTTCTTTCATTGGCACATGTAAACTATTTTCACGCAATGACATACGACTGAAAGCGGTTTAAAAGATGGCCAAGAGAAGATTCAGACGTCCTAACAAGAGAATTACACAGCTTCCATAACTAAAAATCACTTTGACAACTGCACTCAGCACTCGCCTTACCTGACTGCAGAGATAACGTGCACTCATCAGAACGCGAGCTCTGTCATAAAGCTGCCGGCCTTTCTGATAGGCTTTTACTGGCAAGCAATATGGGAGTGCTTTGGCTTTTACCCTTCCTTGCTTGAATCCGATAATTCATATTCAGTCCTTATTCAAAGAAAATTTCCATGTCACAGTATGAGAATTTCGCAAGGCTTTCCCATCATTTTTCTCATACACTAGAATTATTTTCCCCCATAAGGATCATTATCCCTTTTCAACAGTACTTCTGTAACATACCTTCCATGAATTTTAGTGTATTCAGCCAACATTAATAAATAAATCCCTACCTAATCTGCCAAGAGAGGTATCATATAACAATTCCCAGGTTTTAATAAGAAAACAGGCAAAAAACCCCCCCCACAACCCATACCCCAACAACCCAATACCTTCTCTAGCAATAGCTCCTGAGCTAGTGTTAAGGACTGAGAAAAGAACATAGATCTGTGGACTTCCAGGGCATATAATTCAGCTATAAACCTTTCTTGTTGTTGACATAATCCCATGGTGTTGAGACAGTAAATACCTATTTTATTTTCCAGTGTCCAGCAGCTTCTATGGAACACAGTGGCATGAAATACACCCACAGTACTGGACTAAGTTTCAAGTCTGGGAGTGGCTGCAGCATCTCCTTGATACCAACCAACTGGATGCCAACTGCATACCTTTCCAGGAGTTCGATATCAACGGGGAGCATCTGTGCAGTATGAGCCTGCAGGAATTCACTCAGGCAGCTGGGACAGCAGGGCAACTGCTTTACAGCAACCTTCAGCACCTAAAATGGAATGGTAAATAGATAGTAGGCAGAGATGCATGGATGGTGGTCTGAATTCTGGGATCTTCAGAAGTTGCTTATGTTCCCCAGACACCTACCTGGGAGATATCATTTGCTATGTTTGATATACTGCTTATAACTTATTCACTGTACTGGTTAATTGCTTATTATGAAATAAGGCAGAAGTCTAAAGGACCAGGGGAAACGAGTGTTTCCCACTCCAAAATTAGCCCTCTGGATCAGCTGTAGCACTTGCTGCTTGGAGCTCATCCTTCGATCCTCCTGTGCTCTTTGTCATGCTGCCTATCTGCCGTATGCTTTCTTGCAGGCCAGTGTGGAAGTGACATGTACCAACCTCATAATGTTATTGTGAAGACAGAGCAAACAGGTGAGTAACAGTTGGGTAACTGGACTTTTGATGCTGAGAAAAATGGGAAACTCTCCACTACAAGAGAGACATATCAAAACGGCAGTAAATAAAATGAAAGGTGTATCATGCAGAATAAAAGAAGTAACACAAATATCAGTCAGTGTCTATTTTTTGAAGTTTTGGGTAGCATCACCATATCTTAGTTTGCATGTGGCCACTTCTTCTGGGAGACCTCTGCAGTATCAGCAGTCTGTACTGATGTTCAGAGTTGGAATAATTTGCGGTGCTCAGTGAGTGCAGCTTTGTAGAGAACTTCATTCTACTTCATTCAGCAAATTTCAGAACAACTGTTTTCATGGTATTATCTTAAATATATTATAATAATTATAAAAATAATATAAATATAATAAAAACATTATAT